TTTGTTTCAATCCTGTTTTCATTTGTCTTGAAGAAGCTCTTTAATCTGATGAAGTCCCATTTGTTTATTCTTTCTATTGTTTCCCTTCTCTGAGAAGGCATGGTGTCCGAAAAGATCCTTTTAATACTGATGTCAAAGAGTGTACTGCCTACGTTTTCTTCCAGAAGCCTTATGGTTTCAGGTCTCACCTTTAGGTCTTTAATCCATTTTGAGTTTATTTTGGTGAATGGTGAAAAAGAATGGTCAATTTTCATTCTTTTACTTGTGGCTTTCCAGTTTTCCCAGCACCATTTGTTGAAAAGACTTTCTTTTCTCCATTGTATGCCCTCAGCTCCTTTGTCAAAGATAAGCTATCCATAGATGTGTGGTTTTATTTCTGGGCTTTCAATTCTGTTCCATTGATCTGTGCACCTGTTTTTGTACCAGTACCATGCTGTTTTGATTACTGTAGCTTTGTAGTATGTTTTGAAGTCAGGGATTGTGATGCCTCCCGTTTTGTTCTTTTTTCTCAGGATTGCTTTAGAAATTCGGGGTCTTTGGTTGCCCCATATGAATTTTAGGATTCTTTGTTCTAATTCTGTAAAGAATGTCATTGGGATTCTGATTGGGATGGCGTTGAATCTGTAGATTGCTTTAGGTAGAACGGTCATTTTAACTATGTTTATTCTTCCAATGCATGTACATGGAATGTCTTTCCATCTCCTTATGTCGTCATCCAATTCTCTCAGAAAGGCCTTGTAATTTTCATTATATAGGTCCTTCACTTCCTTAGTTAAATTTACCCCAAGGTATTTTATTCTTTTTGTTGCGATTGTGAATGGTATTGTATTCTTGAGTTCTTTTTCTGTTGGTTCATTACTGGAGTATAGAAATGCTACTGATTTATACAAATTGATTTTATACCCTGCAACTTTGCTGTAGTTGTTGATTACTTCTAAGAGTTTTCCAATCCATTCTTTGGGGTTTTCTATATATAAGATCAAGTCATCTGCAAACAGCGAGAGTTTCACTTCTTCCCTCCCTATTTGGATTCCTTTTATTCCTTTTTCTTGCCTGATTGCTCTGGCCAGGACCTCCAGTACTATGTTAAATAAGAGTGGTGATACAGGGCATCCTTGTCTCGTTCCTGTTTTCAGGGGGATGGGGTTCAGTTTTTGCCCATTGAGTATGATGTTGGGTATGGGTTTGTCGTATATGGCCTTTATTATGTTGAGGTAGTTTCCTCCTATGCCCATTTTGTTCAGAGTTTTTATCATAAATGGCTGTTGGATCTTGTCAAATGCCTTCTCTGCATCTATTGAGATGATCATGTGGTTTTTATTCCTCAGTTTGTTGATGTGGTGTATCACGTTGATTGATTTGCGGATGTTGAACCATCCCTCTGTCCCTGGTATGAATCCCACCTGATCATGATGTATGATTCTTTTGATGAATTGCTGAATTCTGGTTGTCAAAATTTTGTTTAGAATTTTTGCATCTATGTTCATCAGTGATATTGGCCTGTAGTTCTCTTTTATCGTGGTGTCCTTGTCAGGTTTTGGTATCAGCGTGATGTTGGCCTCATAGAATGTGTTAGGAAGTGTTCCATCTTCCCTAATTTTTTGGAATAGCTTGAAAAGGATAGGTATTAAATCCTCTCTGAAAGTTTGGTAGAATTCCCCAGGAAAGCCATCTGGTCCTGGGGTTTTATTCTTTGGGATGTTTTTGATTGCTGTTTCAATCTCTTTCCTTGTGATTGGTCTGTTCAAATTGTCTGCCTCTTCTTGAGTGAGCTTTGGGAGATTGTAGGAGTCCAAGAATTTATCCATTTCCTCTAGGTTATCCATTCTGTTGGCATATAGTTTTTTGTAGTATTCTCTTATAATCCGTTGTATTTCTGCAGAGTCTGTTGTTATTTCTCCTCTTTCATTTCTGATTTTGTTTATTTGAGCTTTCTCCCTTTTTTTCTTTGTAAGTCTGGCTAGTGGTTTGTCAATTTTATTTATCTTCTCAAAAAACCAACTCTTTGTTTCATTGATCCTTTCTACTGCCTTTTTTGTTTCAATAGTATTTATTTCTGCTCAGATTTTTATTATTTCTCTCCTTCTGCTGACTTTGGGCTTCATTTGTTCTTTTTTCTCTAGTTCAGTTAGGTGTGCTTTAAGGTTGCTTATTTGGGATTTTTCTTGTTTGTTAAGATGTGCCTGTATTGCGATGAATTTTCCTCTTTATACAGCTTTTGCTGTATCCCATATGAGTTGGTATGGCATGCTATCATTTTCATTTGTTTCCAGGTATTTTTTGATTTCTTCTTTAATTTCTTCAATGATCCATTGCTTGTTCAGTAGTGTGTTGTTTAGTCTCCACATCTTTGTGCCTTTCTCAGCTTTTTTCTTGTAATTAATTTCTAGCCTTATAGCACTATGATCTGAGAAGATGCTTGTTATTATTTCAATTTTTTAAAATTTGTAGAGGCTTGCCTTGTTTCCCAACATATGGTCTATCCTAGAGAATGTTCCATGTGCACTTGAGAAGAATGTGCATTCAGCTCCTTCAGGGTGGAGTGATCTATATATGTCTATTAAGTCCAATTGTTTTAGTTTTTCATTCAGCTCCACTATTTCCTTGTTGATTTTCTGTCTGGATGATCTGTCCATTGATGTGAGTGGGGTGTTGAGGTCCCCTCCTATTATTGTGTTGTTTTTAACATCTTCCTTTAGGTCTGTTAATAGTTGCTTTATGAATCTTGGTGCTCCTGTGTTGGGTGCATAGATATTTATAAGCGTTATTTCTTCTTGATGAAGTGTCCCTTTGATCATTATATATTGTCCCTGTGTGTCTCTCTTTACCTGTCTTATTTTGAAATCCACTTGGTCTGATATGAGAATTGCAACACCTGCCTTTTTTTCCTTGCTGTTTGCTTGAAGTATTGTCCTCCACCCCTTCACCCTGAGTCTGTGTTTGTCCTTGGGGCTGAGGTGTGTTTCCTGGAGGCAACAAATTGTTGGATCTTGTTCTTTAATCCATTTTGCCACTCTGTGTCTTTTTATTGGAGAGTTCAATCCGTTCACATTGAGAGTGATTATTGATGCATGTGGACTTAATGCTGTCAATCTGTCGCTCATTATCTTGTTTTCCTGTGTTTCTTTTCCTGTGTGCTTTAGATTACCCATTTAATACTGCAATTTCTTATGCTGGGTTTCTTAGATTTTTCCTTATCTATGATTTGTGACTCTGTTCTGTACTTTATTTTAGTGTCTACCTTGAAGTTTGTATTTAGAATCTCGTGTATAATATAGTCTATTCTCTGGTGGTTTCTTACTTACTCGACCAATACTGATTTAGACCCTTTGCTCTTCCCCTCCTAAATAATTATTTTCATTTTTTATTCCAACTCGTCTTATTAATTTGTAGTTAGAGTGCTAAGATCATCCTTGTTTTGGTAGTTTCCTTATTTTTACCCTAATGCTATAGTTGAATATTTGCTATCCTGTTCTGGTTCTATCCATCGGTCTCCCTAGTCTGTGGATTGTGTCCCCTTTCTCCCTTTTTTCTTTTTTCAAGTATGAGAGCCTTCTTGAGGATTTCTTGTAATGGAGGGCTTTTAGTTACAAATTCCCTTAACTTTTGTTTGTCTGGAAAAGATTTAATTTCTCCCTCATATCTGAAGGAAATTCTTGCTGGATAGAGTATTCTTGGCTGAAGGTTTTTATCCTTTAAAGCTTTGAATATATCACTTCATTCTCTCCTAGCTTGTAGGGTTTCTGTAGAGAAATCCGCTGACAGTCTGATAGGGGCTCCTTTATAGGTTATTCTCTTTTTTTTTCTTACTTCCCTGAGTATTCTTTCCTTATCATTCCTATTTGCCAACTTTACTATTATGTGCCTTGAGGTGGGTCTTTTTACATTGACAAATCTAGGAGATCTAAAACCCTCCCCTACACACATTTCTCCGTTGATCCCTAGATTTGGGAAGTTCTCTACACTAATTTCGTTAAGCACACTTTCTGCTCCATTTTCCTTTTCCATATTCTCGGGAATTCCTATGATCCTTATGTTCTTACTCCTCATTGAATCCATTATCTCTCGGAGATATTCCTCATTTTTTTTAATTCTTAGTTCTCTTTCTTCCTCTGTCTGGCGCCATTCAGCCTGTCTGTCCTCGATTATGGTAATTTGCTCCTCTATGTTTTCTACACGGGCATTCAGGGAATCTGTATTCTGTTTTATCTGGTCCATTGTGTTTTTCATCTCAAGTAATTCTGTTTGATTCTTCTTTATGATTTCAATCTCTTTTGTGAAGTAACTCCAGAACTCGGCTTGTGTCTCTATCTTTCTCTCTACCTCATTGAGTTTTTTTATTATAGCTGCTCCGAATTCATTATCACTTACTTTACCTAATTCCAAGTCCTCAGGACTTAATTCTGTGTTTTTATCGTTTTCCTTCTGGTCTGGGGCTTTTATAAATTGCTGGATGGTAGAGGAGCGGTTTTTTCTCATGGTGGTAGAATTCAGTTGCAGTTACAGCCTGTCGCCACTAGATGGGGGTCGAGAGCGGCGTGTTAGCTCTCCGCCTTCGGGCAAGATGGCTGCGCCCACTGGCTTTGCTGGGGGGGAGGGGCTGTTACTCACACACGCCGGTCTGGGTTCAGATCAGTTCTGTTCTCTGGTCTCCCGAGGCCCTTGATTTATAGGGTCCCCACGGAGGGAAGCTTTCCCCCTGTCAGCGGGTCTCCACTGAATCAGCGGCAGGAGTCCTGGATGATCGCCGGGTCGCGCGGCCCCTCCCCCGCTCCTTCCCAACCCGCGTGGCAGCGATCGCAGACTCTAGGGGAGGGAGCACTGTTCTCTCTACCGTTCCAGTGCCTCCGAGGGTGTAAGCAAGGGTTATGATCTCCGCCTTCTTGGTATTGTAGGTCTCTAACGAGCTGGCATTATGTTTATCCTCTGAAATTCAGTTCTTCCAATCTTTTGTTGTATTTTGGAGGGGAGAGAATCCCGGGCCAGCTCACCCCGCCATTTTGCTCCGCCCTCTAGGAATTTCTTAAATGGAGGAAGCAGGGCAAGATATTGTTCACACTGAGGTTATCTTTTAGTCATTCAACAAACATTTGTGGGGCAAGTACTATATGCCATGTGTTGTGCACTGAACTCAGAGCTAGTTTAGTGAGAGAGAGACAAGTACTTCTGCAAACAGTTGCACAGAGTGCAGTGTGATGTATCTGTGGCGTGCCTATGGGATCACATAAATGAATAACCAGCCCAGATAGGGAGCATTGGGAGAGACATCCCATAGAAGTAACATGAACTAGATCTTGAAGGGTGAGTTGGCTCAGTAAAGAAGAGAAGAAGGTTATTTTGGGCCAATGCAGCGAGACATGCAAAATAAGAGCCAACAGAGTGAGTCTGGCGTGTTCCTGGATCTGAAAATAGTTCAGGTGCAGCTGGAAAAGAGATGAGTCTGGAGAATTGTGGAATGTGGCCGATGATTGGACAGCCCGTAGAACTGGCCAGCACTGCCATCATCATCCTGGTGCGCTGCTTCACTTGTGGCACGATCATCTGCAACAAGTTGGAGGCCTGCCTGGGGCTGCTGCAGGCTCAGTACATCAAGGGGGCTGCCCTGGATGCGCTGGGCCCAAAGTGCATCTGCAGCCATTGCATGCTGCTGGCCCATGTGCACTTGACTGAATGGCTGCTCAATTATGCGCCCCTGGAGAAGTGACTGCTGGACCCGTGCTGACCACGGGCAGTCAGTGTCTTCCCCAGAGTTCTTTCCATTGAGGTAGCAGAGCTGGGAGCAATGCCAGGCCACTGCCGTGTGGGCATGTGTCCTCCCTGTCTGGAAGGAACCATCCAGTAAAGGTCTTTGCAGAACCACAAAAAAAAAAAAAAAAAAAAAAAAGAGGGAGGAAGAGAGATGAGTCTAGAGAGGGTTATAGGCAGCAGGTATGGTTTGCCTAGAATCCCTTCCTTCAGGGAACACTTCTTCCCCTTCCGTAGTCTTCCTCGTTCCATTCTGGGGTGACTAGCCCCAGAAAGAGCGCATGACCCAACCCAGGCTAGTCCAAGCCCTCTCACTTCATTACTTCCTCACCGCCTCACTTCTAAGGACCGTGTGGGCCTGGAGATGCCCACGGCTCTGTTGCCTCCACATGGACACAGGCTGTCTAAAAAGAAAACCAACGTGAAAAAAACAGAACCAGGAAAGACAGGGCATTAATGCGTCTGTGAACTCCTAGATCTTGTCCTGCCTGAAGCCAATGTGGGACTTTTCAGTTACAGGAGCGAACAAATTCCTCATTTTTTCATAAGCTATTTTGAGTGAGGTTTCTGTCACTTGGAACTGAAAGATGACTGACTTACACAGGATGGTAAGTGTGAAGAGTGACACTGAAAGCACCTTTGGAGGGAACTGACTCAAAGCAGGGCAGTGCCACCATCGGATTTGCATCTTAGATGACACTAACCACATGGAAATGGGCTGATGGGGGCCAGTCTAGAGGGAAGGAGAATGATGTGGCTACTGGACCATGGAATTCTCTGAATATTTCTAACATACCCACAACTCCCCTCCTGTTGTTTAAAAATAATTGTAAAATCTTTTCTTGTTACAGAAAACTCAGAAAATATTTAAAAGCAAAAATAAGGAAAGAGAAAACCTCCAAACCTACCCTCCAGGGACAATCACTGTTAAAACTCATATATATCCTTCTAAACCTTGACGTGTGTGATGTGCATCTGTGTGTTCACTGAGGTGGCACAAGGTATTCAATAAATGGGCTCATACCCTTGAACCTTGAACTTAGAATATGCAAAACTGATGATCTGGAAAAAGAAGATAGTGTGAAACCACAGACAACATTTTTCCAGAACAAATCATTGACCAGCTTATGATTTTGACTTGTATTTCTGCTCTTCAACTTCAAGCTGAGAATGTGGACTTATGTTAACCTTTGACTGAGTATACGCAAATTTCATGTTACAGACAAAGATTCACATTACAGTGTGTTGGATGATCAACATTGCAGGGGATTAGAAGAGGAAGATCTTATGATTAACTTTTCCACATCTTCACCTCTTGCAATTGTGGGAAAGAAAAAGTAAAGATCACTAACAAGCAAATTAGTCTACAGCTGAGGACAAGAGCAATGAGTATGCAGAAACTGGCCTGCATTTATATAGCGTGTCTATACCATATCGGCCAGACTGCACGTCTGTAACAGCTGTTGGATGCTGCACAAAGTAAGACAGGTCGCATCGCCATCCCAACTCTCTAGTTGCATATAATCTGCAAGGTTTACAAGATTGAAACCCTTATTCTTAATGACTTTTTTTTGTCACTGGCCTTTATTAAAAGAACTCTCAGAGTTCTCCACTTCTCAAATTCCTATATACTTTCTTCTGCCTCACCTTCCACCCTACTCCCAGCTTAGTCTCTTTGCAAAGAATAGATTGCAAATTTTATTTCTTAAAACAGCATATGCAAGGACTCTGAAGATGTCTGGTATTTTCTTCAGTCTCCAACCAAAGTTACTTGTTAAATAACAGCGTTGGAGGGGAGCGTGGAACGTTTGTTTTAAAGGCTGCATCAATGCCAAGCCACCATTAGCAACAGATCACCTCCCTATCTCAGGGGAGCCAACTACTCGGGAAGAAGCTCAAATTTTCGTCCCCATTGCCACCTCCCATTCTTTATTCCAGCCTAGACAGACTGAGAGGAGGGCGGTGCGCAGCAGAGACAGAAGGCATGCCAGCTGGATGCCCCGAGAGACCTAGTCCACCTTTTCGGGAGGCCATTACAGACTTGTGCAGCGCTCAGCAGGCAGGTCGTCTGAAGACTCTCGCATCTGGGAGAGCTGATCGACCGTGCCTTCTTGTTTTCATTCAGCCAGCACTCACCGAGCCCCTACTATGTACCAAACAATGAAAATATGAACATCAGCAACCTGTGGCCCCTGCTCCCAACAGCTCCCAGTCCAGGGACAGGGCGAGCAGCCGGCCTCTGCCCGTGCGAGCAAACCGATGCCGAGGGAGACCCATCTTCTGCCCTAAGAGCTGCAGGCTCTGCCACCCGAAAGATTCCAGCCTGGTGGCCGATAAGGCGACTACAAAGCTGAAACTTACCTAACATCAAGACAAAACGTTGGTGCTGTGGGGCTTTGAGAGAGAGATCATGGAGGCAAGATCGGGAGGCGAAAAGAGAAGACCGATGACAGCGCTTACCCAGCAAGCAAGGATTTTATAGCTGCCATCGCTCATTCCCTGGGTTTCTTTTTTACCATCAACATATGCTTTCCAAAATTGGGAATACTGCCCTCCGGGAGTTTACAAATCCCAGTGAAAAGTAACTGCTAACTGCTTGAGTAGAAAGGAAAGAAACAGAAGAATAACTCCTTGGGCCTCTTTGCGATCGAGGCTCCCAGCACAGAGCCTTCTCATCTGGGACAATATGAGATAAGCATTCCATTTTTCTCTTAAGTATCTTGTGCTTATCATGGTTAAAATTAAACCTGCTTAAAATAAAATCTACCAGGATGCTCATTTTGTTTACTCTCCCCCCACCTCCCATGTTACAAAGAGGAAGCAACCCAACACATTGTTCTGTGCTGCTGAGAACAATTCCGTTTCCTTCCTGTTGGCTGTTTTTTTCTTGATATAACATGTAATTAAGGGATTTTTTTTTCCAAGTGGATTTGTGCTGTAAAACTCAGTCCCTCATGTAGCAACATAAGATCCCTCTGCAGATGGAGGCAGCCAAGAACTGAGCAAAAGGACGTGATTTGCTTTAGTGTTGTGTGTGACCAACTTCCTGCTGCCTTTTAATGTTCTGCTGCTAGAACAGCTTAATTGGATAATTAGTTAAGAAATGCACAGCAAATATTTTAAGATAAACTTTTAAAATAAAGCGTGACATACCTAATGGGAAGTGCACAAATCCTAAGTGTATGGCTCAGTGAATTATCACCAAGTGAACACACCCACATGACATCAGCCACACCAAGAAGCAGAACGCCAGAACGCCTCCCTACCATGCTCCCTTTGACACCGGCGATTCGTTTTGCCTGTTTTTAACTTCATGTAAATGGAATCATCTTACATACTCTTTTGTGTTGGACGTTTCAACATTGTGGGATCCATATTGTGTGTAGTAGCAGTTCCTTCATTTTCGTTGCATGGACTATTAATCCCATCCTGAATGGGAAAGACAACTACACAGACGAGTGTGAGGTTGCCCTCAGACTGGAACTCCGAGTGCAGCTCCATTTCCTCATCTCCCCGGTCTAACATTGGATGAAGACAGCCGCCATTATCCACTGAGGATGGATTCCTGGCTAGATGAATAATTTCCTGAGAACTCTCGACCATTGTACCTCAATCCCTGTTAAGAATGTTTCTGTTCCCTTCACTGGGAATTCAACTCGTATTTGCTGAGCACCTCCTCTGTGTGAGTCCTTGTGCTATGTGAGTGCAGCAGGGAAAACAATCCCAGCTGTGAAGCTCACACTAGAAAGGAGAAATAAGACTATACACAAGTAACTCTAATTCAAGGGCATAATCTGATTAGAGATGATAAGAGAGCTACAAGGTGCTTTGAGAATTTTAAAGTCAGAGGGAATCACACTCAATCAAGGGATGAGAAGAAGGCTTTGAGATGGTATCTCATTGGTCCCTGAGACTAATAGGATGATCTGTGGAAATATTCCAGGCCAAGGCTATATCCTGAGTAAAAACAAACAAACAAAGACAATGGGGTATTGTGCAAAATGTTAAGTGTCTCAATTGTCCTAAGCATCGGGAGTACTGGGGATTGAGTCTAGAAAGTCAGATGGGAATCATATTGTAGGAGACCTTAAATGTCAAGGTAAGAAAGGACTTTATTCCAGTGGCTTCTTCTACTGGTTTCTGCCCTTCAGTCTACAAATGTGCTCAGACCTCCTTTTTCTAACAATTAACTTTTGTCCACTTTGCTTCTCTCTCAAGTATCTTCATCCCTTCCTTGACTCCCTGTCCTTTTTTTTTAAAAGATTTTATTTTTTTCCTTTTTCTCCCCAAAGGCCCCCAGTACATAGTTGCATATTCTTAGTTGTGGGTCCTTCTAGTTGTGGCATGTGGGATGCCGCCTCAGCATGGCCTGACGAGCAGTGCCATGTCCGCACCCAGGATTCGAACTGACGAAACACTGGGCCGCCTGCAGCGGAGCGCGCGAACTTAGCCACTCGGCCACGGGGCCAGCCCCCTCCCTGTCCTTTTTAAGAATTCTTATCCTCCACTTCAGTTTAACCTACTGCAAGCTAATTTCTATATCCAACATTCTTCTGAAATTATTGCTGCTGAGATCTCCGTATGTCTCAGAGTTCTGGTTGTAAAGAACTGAACCAACTCTGGCTAGAGAAGACAGAAATGGGCTGTATGGGAAGGATGTTGAATGGCTCCCAAGATTGAAGGGAAGGCGGGAAAAGTATGCTTGGAAAATAGGAAGGAACCAAGAAATATCTAGCAGCCTAGGACTCAGCCGCCAGAACAGGCTACTCAGGCCTTCACTGCTGTTGAATCCTCCCACACCGCTGCTTGCTTGATCTGACTGCCCTAGTGTTGCATCACTTTTTCAAGACTCAAGGTCCTGGGTGGGAGCATCCTCTGGCTGAGCTTGGGTTATGGGTTTGGCCTCTCACCCGGGTGTCAGGGAGAAGAACTTTTTATCCTTCTCTCTCAGCTTTTTAGTGAGAGGCAGAGTCCCCCAGATAGTAAGGTATTTGAGTAAGTACAACCTCTCCCAACTGCTAAGCCAAATAGTCTCTTTCTAGCCTTCAT